ATCGTCGTTGAAGCTGACAATATGCGGCCCATAACTCGACAAGTTGTGGTCATTTCCCTGAACGACGGTCGGCCTCTTTCTCCAAGTGCCTGAATGAGCAAGAGTTGGGCACATTGAGAGAACTCAAGTGGGCTAACCCTCCAGGAGGGTGCTCCCATGATAAAGTCCCACGTCATCCCAACGTCCCGGACCGTCCCAACGTAGTCCCAATCACACCTAGACCACCAAGGATACTTCCAAACCAACTCGCAGATCCACACCACCTCCAACAACTGCGTTCGCACCCCAAGTTGGTCCCACTTGGTCCCAAGATGGTCCCAAGATGGTCCCAAGATGGTCCCAAGATAGTCCTAAGTGGTCCTCGACAATCCTACACCATCGTCCGCAACACCCGATGGTCCAGAACTCAAAATCGCTCGCATCGCGCGCCACAAAAAAAATAAAGAAGGCCCTGGCTGAAAACCGCATGTGCTGTGAGCCCCAATGACTATTGGTCCGTCCACTCACTCCGCACTCTTTCCATGCCATTGGTCCACTCACCACTGCCACACGATCCCAAACGTGCACCAGCACTAGCCCAACCTCTAGGCCACACTGGGATCCACCATAACCGCTGTGCACCACAAAAAAATAACGGCGGGATTACCGCTCGCCGTATCACCAAGACCGGTACCACGATTGTCCCGCAACACCATCGCCAGATCATACACAAAGGGGCAACACCACCGCCAGATCATACACAAAAAAATGGTTCCACTGCGACGCAAAAATTCATCAGCACTGCCCTTCAGAAAAATAATGTCGTCGACGTGCCTAAAAGTTTGCAGCGTGACCCCACAAAAAAAATATCGTCGTGGCCGTGCCGCCGAACAGGGAGCGCCTTCCCTTAGGATTAGTAAGGTCTTGACACCGCGGCGGCAGTTCGGCAGCACCTTCCCTTAGGAATCCAACTACCGTATAACGACCATGGAGAAAAATGTTCTCAGGGGCAGCCCGTAGTTTGTATATGCTTGATTGATAAAGAAAGCATTATTGGTGAGGTTTAGAAGTATGCACTTGCAAACGCAATGCAGGTGTGTCGTTTCAACCTGCGGCGAAGGTTGGTTGAAGCAACTGTAACTTCATGAATCCCATCAAGCCTGAGCATCAAGAAGATTGCAAATCGTCGACACACAAGGCTGCCTGTAGACGAAACTGACGAGTCAGAGAGAGAGAGAGAGAGAGAGAGAGAGAGAGAGAGAGAGAGAGAGAGGACGCACAAAGATAAGCCAACACGCTGATGCAAGAACCCGAACGTGACAGGATGGGATTACAAAAACGTGAATGAAGCACATCCCATCAGCTCGGACCGAAAGATGGTGACAACACGCCAATACGTGAATACCAAGCCGGACATCTGGCGAGGGACCCGACATGTTTCGTCCGGCCGCCAGTGCCGAACTCATCAGGGGTCAAAGCGTCACGGATACTAAACCAGTGTGGTTGGCCTTATAAGTACTCTACGAAGGCTCTACCGAAAGACTACTGGGTCTCAATCGTCAACTCCAAGACTCAATCCCGATACGACCGAAAAAAACACAGACCCTGTTTGGACCCTACTTCAGCTAATAGCTTCGAGTGGTCGCACGACCCAAGATAAGGAAAGAATCAAGACCAGACCTAGTTTAGAGCCCCTCAGAATGCTTGCCTACTGACAGACCCAGAAAGAAACCAGACCGAGCCTAGTCTAAAACCTCCGAAACGCTTTACCCACTGCCTACTTCATGAGCCTCACAAAACGCTTTGTCCGCTGACAAACCCAGAGAGAAGCCACACCCAGCCTGGTCTAGAACCCATCGATACGCTTTGCCCCCCGCCTATTACGAGGTATATCAATAACATAGGGCAACCTGTCCCATCCCGTCAGACAATCAACCCAGTTTTTCCACACTCCTCCAAATTTACCAGAAAAATTTCTCAGCACATCATCGAAAAACTCGTCTCTAAATCCCCGAAGTCTCAACTCAACCTTCAATGAGAAGAGAAAACACAACTCAACACCCGACATGCTGGTAAACCGCTTTGCGCGATGCAGAAAGGATCCCACAACCGCCATCTTTTGTTGCTTGCTAGTATAAGAGCATGCATCTTGCAGGTTCTGGAACCGAATGCCCTGCAGAATCCCCCTCTGATTCTTGTGCACGGCAGCACATCTGACTCCCACCGGGTAACTGAAATCCTTAATTACACATCCTAAGAACTCCCAGCAGTTCGAGCGGCTGGTACACTCCAAAACCAAATTTTTGTCGTAACTCTTTTAAAAAAGTTTCACCAAAAACTCTGCCTTAGCCCTCGAACCTGCCTCATCAAGCTTATACTTAGCGAAAACAGAAGCATCGTCGACAAGCCGTAACCCATGAAACAATCTCCGATCCTTCCCAATCGAAGGTAGAAAAACAAACTATGAATGAACACAGAGCAAACAAGCAAGAGTAGGACTAGACGGTTTTCCCATCGGGATACCAACGACCTGCTGCAGAACAACACCACCCACTTTGACGTAGGTATTGCGCAAGTCAAAACTGACACATGCACAGACCGTCTAAAAATCAAGGGAATCCTATCCCTCCTGTCTCCTTCTTTTCTGCAGTTTGACCCCTTTAGCCAAATTTTTAACCAACGCACCACTCATCATTTTCGAAGACTAGAAATCCGTCACCAAATCAACCGCATGCAATATAGATGAGTGCGGTAAGTTGCAGAACATTTCCTTAATATCGAATGCTGCCATTACCCACCCTTCACCTTCCTTCAAGTCAGTGTTAACCCGTTGAATGCCTTCCCGAAGCAAATCCGTATTTTTCAAGTTGAAATGCGCCCCAGCGAGCAAATCCCAAACCATCTGGTTGATAACCCGCGAAACCTTCTTACTAGCCTTAACCCCACATTTGAAAAACGAGGGGCAAATAGGTCGCCGCTTACCCACATCTTTGTGCTTTGGCACGACATATACATCCCCCAGTTTGCCCTTTGCGTCCCCATATCAATCAACAGGTTATCCTCATCTCTAGTGACACGGCAGAACCCAGGGTTGTCTAAAAATAATTTTGAAATTCCCTTATGGTAGATCGATGGGCAACACACCAGAGTATCTTCCGCGTTGTGATCGATAGGCACCTTCACCAGTCCCCGAAATCTTCTCTTCCATTCAAGGACTGCATCTGTAGTGCAGTCGTCGCTACCTTCTCGACGACCATCCTGAAAACATCCCATCAATCCCGTTCTTGAGACCGTGGAGACCGAGAACTCAAGCTCCTGCATCGAACCATCCAACTGTCTCCTTAACTGTGACATCAAGTTAGTCTCATCAGGTCATGGAATGTTCTTATTATTCCTTATCCACGAAGGAACCATATCCCACTCATTAAGCCTGAAGCACACATGTCCACCTACCCTAGGGAAAGTAGCATCCAGATCTGCACACGTACATGCCCCTTCCCTCTCTCTAGCAACCGCCCTAAAATCGAACAGCAGTTCACCTACGCTTTTGTTCTTGAGCCAAACCACTCCCATCCTCCTCGACACCATTGCCTTTCATTCGAACAAGGTGTCAGCTCCCATGATTAGATTAGTACAACACTCACGAATACCTGGTTTGCTCAATCTATCGTCAAACGCAACTCGGACTGTAAGTCTCCGTCGCACATGCACCCCAAATTGTCTACGAATACACCCAGAAAGAATGACCCGTAGGGAATACCGAGAACGCTTAGCAGAAAGACCCCGAATGGCCGAAAACCCGTTAATCAACGTCCCCAGATCCCAAGAGTACAAAATCCTTCGGAAGGCCGGGTCATACAGAAACCCAACCAAAGTAGGAATTAAGATAGCGGACCGAGAGCAAAAAACAACAACAGGATCAAAGATCAGGAACCGCCCAGCCTGCAGCCAACCCTTAGCCTTACGAAAAAGTTCCACCGACTCATCACAACGTACGCCAGAAGAACCTAATTTACATTTTAGCACTTTCCAAGTCTCTGCCAGCCTATTTCCACCGGTACATTCAATGCCAACTTTACATACCTTACACTCCACGCAGTACTCAAGTAGACGAGAAAGAGATGCCGAGACCATTCCATCAGATGAGCGAAAGACGAGATGCGTGCCAAAGGATTGACCAACGACAGTTCTAAAAACAGATCTACTCCGCCTGATATGTTCGCACAACCCAGGTCGTTTCTTCCTTCCCTTCTTTCGTTGATCCCTAAAGTTGAGATAAGTCTCTAGTCCCAACATATCCTCAATAGAGCAACCAAATAAAGGGATCGCAACATAAGAGCCAACACAACATCGACGAAGCCAAGCATACAGACGGTGATTACGTTCTCCACCATCAACAACCTTTAAATTGCATGTACGATACACATGCTCACACCACCTGACGTGCAGGGATCGAGAAGTTGAGCCCACGTAGAGGTGGTGAGACCAGGAGGAGATTAACACATAGACAAGGGGGTCACAACATTCTTCCAAATCATAATCAAAGTGTAGAAGCTCAGATAAATACGAGCCCAATTTCGTAGCCCACGAAACTTCCCCCCTCAATATTAAGCAAATCACAACCAAACGGAAAAAGGCGTTAAAACCCTTATCACGTACCAAACAGTCCTTAGCTAACACTCCCCGAGCAGACGAAAAGGCCGAACACCATGATGTCCAAGACGGAAAAAAGTCATCAACACCTACAGACGAAGGAGGAAAGGAATCTGTCTCAGCAACTGAAGTAGAAAAAGATCTACGTTGTCTACATAGCAAGGCCAATGACCACAAAGTAGCCGCATTCGGGGAATTCACTAGAGTTCCACGGAGACTTCGTCACCGCCGGTTGTGGACTCGTCACGTGACGAATCAATACTGACGACCTCCACTGGTTCCTTATCATATTTCTTCCCAAACGCATTCTTAGTTCGAAATTGCACGATATCCTCAATCATATCGTCCACTTTTTCGGCCTTCAGCCCCGCCTCCTTGCAGATTTGTTCCAACGCAGACTTCCTCAACATCTTCAGAAACTTGGTTTGCTCCTCGACAAACGTAGTACGATCATTATCTCCATGCTTGGGCTATTCCTCACGGTGCGGTGTACGCCTCAACCCCTCCCGATTTGGAGTGGCCTTCCTTCCTTTTCGGGCTTCCAAAGAGCCACAGCCTCCAATCTCTCCTTCAAATTCGTTCCTCCCGGCGTCCTCTCCCTTCCCGCCTCATTAGCATTCAGTTTGCTCATCTGCTTGTGCAGATTGATGACCTCCATCTCAGCTTGCGCCTTCTTTTTCTTAAGCGTCTCCACTTCCACGAAATCCGCTCTGCGCAAACTTTGCAGCTTCCTATATTCAGATTTCCAATTTTCTTGTTCCTGATCCTTGTCGCACGTTCGACGCGGCTTAGGTGACGCACGTGCGTTAGTATCCGGGGGGGTAGACATAGTGATGCTGCCTCGCTTGTTTCCTGGCCGCAATGCCTCATCCTTCCATTGACGCGCTTCAATACGAAGATCTTCCAACTGCCTCTTAAGCCCAGCCAACTCCTGCTCCTTAACTGCCGATTCACGCAGTTGCTGGATCTCATGCTTGAGTGCCACAATCTCGTCTCTCTTACTCTCCTTCTCGTTCACCTGCTTACATAACTCCAAAATCTCCCGCTCGAGCTTGCAGACTTCCCCACCGTCTAGATCACCTCGCAACGCCCGCTTAAGCTCTTCGTTTTCCCACTTCAGCCTGGCGACCTCGTCCTCCCCCTTCGTATTACATTCCCCCTCAGTCTGGCGATTGACCTTGACCGACTGGCACACCGCCTCCATTCGTTTATCGATCCTCGCAGCCATTTCTAATTTCAACTTCTCACGCTCTTTCCTTCACTCCTCCTTTCTCTCTACCTCCTCCTTGGTCTTCCTAGCTCTTTCTTCCTCCTCCTTTAGCTTAGATTCTCTCTTCGTGCCCGCCAAATACTTATTATACACCTTCTCAAGCCCCTCCCGATTGGTCTTCCAAAAATTGTTACGTGGCGGCCCCCCATACTAGTAACCATTATTACGGTATCCACCTCCAGTATTACCAGCTGTTAGCTGAGCCGCCGCATCTCCATTCGCTGCAGGTGCATAAAGCGCGAGCAGAGGCTGCCCAGTAGGGACCGCGTTAGCGCCGGTCGCCGGAGGCCGTTGACCACCGAATCGTTGTGGACATTCTCGACAGAAATGATGAGGCGAACCGCAATTATAGCAGCTACGAGAAGGAAACATACCCGCCATAGTGCAGAATAGAATAGAATAGAATAGAAGAGGATGAAGGTGGGAGTAATAGAGGAACAACGCAGTGTGTCTAAAAGAGTCACCGTCTCATATCAGCCCGCAACCGAGCCATGCTCCCGTAGTCTAATTTGTACGGGGGTTACAACGTTGAAAGGATGGTTGAAGCAACTTCATGAATCCCATCAAGCATCAAAAAGATTGCAAATCGTCGACACACAAGGCTGCCTGTAGACGAAACCAACAAGTCAGAGAGAGAGAGAGAGAGAGAGAGAGAGAGAGAGAGAGAGAGAGAGAGAGAGAGAGAGAGAGAGAGAGAGAGAGAGAGAGAGAGAGAG